TCTTTCTACCTTTCCAGGTTACTGTTGGATACAGTCAGGTTTGAGAATCCCCGATGGAAAGTGGAAGATGTAATTCAAAAGTATCTCATCTCTCATTTTATCTTACCACTAGTCATCAAGGATCTTGTCGTAAATTAAAATTTTCTACCAAAAACAATGAGAATCATGGTCAAAATAGTAACTTAGGTGCCACGTGTGAGCCAGGAAATTTATAAGACAAAACCATGAGTGTGGACCATGAAAGAGCCAGCCTTGTTCCACTGCCACAGCTGGGACAACCGTTTGTGTCTACAGAAGATCAAGCAGCCCTGTCACACTCTCGAAACGCTTCATTCAGAGGCAGGTGTGTGCTGCGGAGACATTGTGGTCAATGATAAACTACGTTTATGTTGCTTGTGTGAAGATCATAATGGAACTGGAAAATTCCTACCACCTAGGGAGGTGGTAGCCACCATAATGCCAAGTACAGCTCGTTACTCGTGTCTGGGTAATGCTGCCATGGGCACACCTCCCACTCTGCTACCCGATGAAGATGCAGGGCACACAGGTGTGATGGAAACTCTGGTGGCAAATGTTCAAATTGAGCAGTTTATTACAGTAAAAGATGCATTGCTATTAATCCCCCTTGAATACCCCCGTTTGCCCTGAATGCACTTATCCCCACTGTTCTTGTTACTTCCCTAAGCAATTCTGGATGTCGTTTTTCATGAGTGTCTGGTTGCACCGTCCTGGCTGCCTTACTGTTCTGAATCAATTTAAAATCGATTTGCCTTTCATGGCCATTTTGACTTGAGGAAGAGTCAGAAGTCAGGTGGTGCCTGATCTGGTGAGCAAGGTGCATGAGGACACATGTGATATTTTCATGAGCCTGACTTTCCCTTGGGTGGCACTCGGCAGCAGGTTTCATTATACTTTTAATCACAATTATAAAGACACTCATGAACAGGGCCAGGGATTTAGCTCAGTGGTTCTGCCGCCTGCCTTGCAAATGTGAAGACCCGAGTTCAATCCCTGGTACCAAAAAAAAAAAAAAAGACACTCATGAAAGAGGACCTCCAGAACTGCTTCAAAAGTAGCAAGAAAGACTGTTCGTGACGTAAAGTGTTCTGAAGACTGTTCGTGACGTGAAGTATTTTGAGGACTATTTACATGTGAGTTTTACTGTAATAAAGTTAATAACTTGCTGTACATTTTTACCAGCCCCTCATACATTATATATGGCGCATACTACTTGATAATGAAAATGAGTGCCTATGCTTCTAGCTCACGAATTCACGGTTTACTATGCTATACTTTTACCATTATTTTAGAGTATATTTCCTCTACTTGTCAAAAGACTCACTGTAAAGCAGCCTGCTCGATTGCTCTGGAAGCGGCCTCACACATCTCTCCTACATGGTGTCTCTTGGTTGCTTCAAGAGGCCGTGCAGAGCGCCTGGCCTTCTAGGCCGTGCGGGGTGCTCTGTGATGTTCAAATAATGACAAACAGCTTAAAGTCCGCAGTCTCAGGAAGTTTCCAGTCATGGAGTGATGTGTGGCCACAGTCTGCTCCACTGAGCCCAGAAGGCATCAGAGCATCTCAAAGGAGAAGGACTAGGAGGGTGGACGGCAGGAGGACAGGACAGAGAGGGAGTCTTGCTTTAACAGTGTGTAAGACTTTAGATTTTGAGCCATCTGTATGTGTTTTCTAGTTTAATAATGTAGAAATTATAATGCTTTAGATTCCAGGTTACATCTCACAAAATTGACCTTCACATTGGGAAAGAGTCAATAGGTATGGGTCCAATTCTGAACCGCCAGGCAAGTAAACTGAGGCAAAGTAGATGATAGTGATTTTTAGCCTGCCTTTTTCATTTTTATATTTAACTATGTAGACACTTAGAATGTGAACACATACAGTTTACAATCTTCTATTTAATGAGAAGCTAGGATCATACAATGATGAAGGGCATGAAAAGAGTCAGATGGATCTACTCCTAATTCTGTTTCTAGTAATAAATAGATATGAGATGTTGCCCGTGTTTCTGAACCTCAGGAAACCTTAGCCTCTTTATAAATAAAATGAAGATTAAAAATACAATCTAAGAGGGTTATCATAAAGATTGAATGAAATAACACTATATCCAAGCAAAGCGCTTAAAACATAGTAAACCTAAACTAAAACATAGTGATCCTTATCAGGAATTGCATCTCTCAAGTTGAAATGGCTCCAGGGGTCAGAGATTGGCTTGGACAAATCATAGAGGTCTGATTTCTTAATCCAGCCAGATGTATCAGAGGAATGCCCCGCCCTGGGCCACCTACACACAGACTCAGAGCATGCTCCGGGGCGAGCCCAGTCCTAGGCGTCGTCGATCCCAACCTGCATTTACTTTGGAAACATGCTGTGGGGTCCATACAAAGCCACAACATCATGCGCTGCACACTGCTGAGGCTACCATCTTGCAGGAATACCAGCTGAGCTGGGAAAGATGAAAATTCGAAGCAGCAAAGAGGGAATTCGTCCACTGCACCTGGTTCTGGGAAATGCTTGTGAAATCTCCACGTTCTGCAAAGCAAATGAGCTGCTTGGGAACAGAGTTAGGAAAACAATTTAAAACAAAATAAATAAACAGATCTCAGGAGATCAGTGGTCTGGAAAGAATTCCTCTGCGACAGTAACAAGCCCTGAATAGAAACAGTAAGTAACTTTTCAACCAATTGTAATCCAAGCGTAAAACACTCAAACACAGGCCACAGCATGCACACAGCTCTGTAGAACCACAGTGGTTCTGAAAATCAGGAAGGCATATGCGACTCCTGAAACGGGTTCACCACCCCTGAGGATTCATCCCAGACATTCTGTCCTCCCCGCGAGAGCCTGCCAACTCGGACTGAGCCTTCTTCCCCGGGGAAAATACTGCTTTCCTATGGTTAGGATTAGAGAGAAATGAAATTCTAAAACTTCTCCAATATGTTAGCATGCGTTTGTTTTTCTTCCCTAATTTGAAGACACTCAATTAGTGATGGACTATTTAAAAGGCACTGGGGGACAGGGGATTTAGCTCAGTGGTGCCACCGCCTGCCTCGCGAGCGCAAGGACCCACGTTGGGTCCCTGGTACCAAGGGGGGGGGCACTGGATTAAATCCCACACAGAGACAAAGGTAAGGCAGGCCTGCCTTCAAAGACACTATGACCATACAACATTTTATAGGACAAAAGCAAACAGGTGATTGTAAAATGATGATAATAACAATATTTAGCAATTATTAAGCCCTCCGTCTGGGCCAGTGGCTTTAAACCCACTAATTCTTACCATGACCTTAAGAGACAGCGTTCCTCCCTGTTTCACAGACGTGCAACTGGTCTTGAGATGGCTGCAGTAGCTTTTGTCAAGGTTAAGGTCAGTCGCTGAACTAAAGTCCATTAACCATAGAACTACCACCAGCGTCACTCGAGAATGGTGCCCTGTCTCTCATGCCATTTCCGAATGCTGACCCCCTTGGCAGTAGTTTAGTTTTCTCAGCTAGATCTGGATATAAATGTCAAAGTCCAGCATTTGAAGTCAATGTGTAGCAAAGGACTTGGCGTCTACCAAGGGGCAAGGCACTCAGTCTTTGAGGGTGAACGACTTCTCACACGCAGTCATTAACCAAACAGTGTGCCGGGGGAGGAAGAACCTCTCCCACACCGTTTGCTTTTCCATATAGCAGCTCCAAGCCTTCAATACTGTTTTGTTTTACATGAAATACCCACACTCTTATTCCACCTCTCTTGTCATTTCTCTCCCCTCCTTCCAGTCTTCTTGACCCACGACCTCACCCAAGAAGTCCCTCCCGCCTGCTGCTCTACAGTCCCTGTTCAGATCCCGCACACGTCACTCACTTGGTTATCATTTAGCCTTTCCTGCCTGCAGTCTCACAACTAACTGCAACTTGGTCCTTCCAACCCGGTACAGTTTTTCATATATCTGTGTCATCGTCTGTCAACGTTAATCCTTACATCGACACATTAAGTATAGAGCACAACGCAAGGAAATACTTAGTATAAAGTATTAGTTAAAAATAAGTGATCAAAGGAGCCGGGCGTGGTGGCGCACACCTGTAATCCCAGCACATAGGAGGCTGAGGCAGGAGGATCGCTGTGAGTTCGAGACCAGCCTGGGCTACATGGTGAGTTCCAGGTCAGTCTCAACTACATAGCGAGACCCTGCCTCAAAAAAAAAAAAAACAAAAATAAAAATAAAAAAATAAGTAATCAAAATTAGATTACATCGAATTTTTCATAATCATTTGGATAAATGGAATTCTATTTTTAAAAATCAGAAATTGAGAAAACAAACTCTGCGATCTTGCTAATAAACCGAAATATCTGTACCTCAAATCAAATCTCCAGTACATTTTTTTAATTTAAAAAAAGAGGGTGCCCAGAGCGTAGCTCAGCGGTTGAGTAGGTGCCTGCACAGTTTAACCCTCAGCACCACGCACACAAAAGGAACGACAACAGCGTTAAATCTTAAAAAGCAAATTTTTAGAAAGCAAACCCTGCAATTCCATTCATACCCATAACATAACTAGTTTATATTTCTTTATCTTCTACCAATTTCGTATTTAACGTATCTCACATTATAGTGTAGACAATTTTGCTTTTTTTCTGGTCACACGCAAATCGTTTTTATCAGCGTATTTTACTCGTGCCTTGCACACTGTTGAACATTTAGGCTGGATGGAAAGCGTTTCCTGGGCACCACAGATAATGCGGCAGGTTCTCTGCGTAACATCCGCAATATTTAAGTGCTTTGCTTCCGCCGATTCCCCGGAGTGGGACTACTGTTTCAAAAGACTTAAAATATGTTTTCAATCTCCTGGCAGACCTAGATCTTTAAAAATAAAAGTGTGTGCTTTGTTGCTATCTTTCCAATTTCCATAAACATCCAAAGCCTTGCTGAAGGGCGCCATTTCTTCTACAGATTTCTCTGCGTCCGAGCCGCACCTCTGAGCACCCAGCGCGCAGGACTCACCTTCGGCCCTCGCGCTGCCCTTCTGCCGGCTGCGGCGGAGCGGCAGCACCTCCAGGCCCTCCAGGCCCGACGTCTCCAGGACCGTGGCCTCCACCGTCAGCTTCCCGACCAGCTGCTGCGGCCTCACACTGATGATGTGCTCGTATTGGCCGAGGCGCCTCTGCAGAAGCTCCTCGTAACTCAGGAGGAAGGAGGCCTTGTCCTTGCTGGGAATCACTAGGGACGCTCTGAACGTGTCGGTCCCCTGGTCCCTGTCAGGAAGGCAAAAGAAGCCACCCTGGGGCTCAGAATAAGAAAGGCCAAGCTCCCTGGGTCCCCTCAGACACCAGCATGCAGGGAAGACCTGTGGGCACTGCAGGGTGCATCCTTAGAAAGAAAAATAAAAGTTCGTTTTGGAAGAAGCAAAGAGCGGTGCTAGAGGAAGGTCACCAAGGGCCAAAGGATACTGAACAGAGAATTCAAAGACCGCTGACCCCAGCCGGGCTTGGTGGCGCTCCCCTGTAATCCCAGCACTGGAGGCTGAGTCTAGAGGAAGGTCACCAAGGGCCAAAGGATACTGAACAGAGAATTCAAAGACCGCTGACCCCAGCCGGGCTTGGTGGCGCTCCCCTGTAATCCCAGCACTTGGGAGGCTGAGGCAGGAGGATCGCTGTGAGTTCGAGACCAGCCTGGTCTACATAGTGACTTCCAGGTCAGTCTCAACTACATAGTGAGACCCTGTCTCAAAAACCAAACCAAAACAAACAAACAAACAAACAAACTGCTGACCCCTCCTGCCTCTCTCTGAGACAGATCTCAGGGCAATGGGAAAGGGGCCCGGTGAGCAGGTGAACTGTCAGAAGAGGGAGGGTTGGAGTCCAGCTGAGAGGCGAACTCAGCCCTTTACAGGATGGCCAATGAATTCTGACATTTTATATAACACCTAATCCACCGTTATGTTTTTGCACCTTGGTAAAATTTAGTAGATGTGTTTAAAGAGGAAATACACTTAGGAAAATACCAACTATTCCAAGTGCTGTCGGTGGCTGGAGTGAGGGTTCTCTGAGGCAAAATGGTGAGCCGGCCACCCAAAGATTAAGAGTGGGAAGGCGACCCTTAGTTCCTAAGACATTTGAGCAAGTCTCCAAGGACTGGGGGATGGCAGAGCAAAAGAGCTCTGCAGCTCAGAACATGCTGGGAGAGGCTGCAGAGAAGGGGCGAACCCAGCGCTGGAGGGATCTCAGAGGAACTGCAGGCCACGCGTTCAGGAGGGCGCCGTGGGGTCGCAGTGAGGCCAAATAAAAGGAGATCATTCCAAGTCCCATTTGATCATAAGAAGGACTAAACCGATTCCTGTACTCTTCTTTCTGGGAACTGAACAGAGACAAATACTAAGATGGAAAAGCCTCCTCGGACAGAATGAATGAAAAAGAACTGACAGCTAAACCCATTATGGTGAAACTTGAGAACATCAGAGAAAAGATGTAAAAGGAGCGGCATTAGGTGGAATTAGATGCACCATCAGGGAGACCGGACGTTATAAGACGTTAGAGCAAAATCTCAAAGTTCAGGAGGAAAGTTATTTTGACCCTAAATTCCACACACAGCCATACATATCACTGCAGGTCTCAGAAAGCTTATACTCATGTGCCCAGTCTGAGCAAGTTACTTGGGAATGTACTTGAGAAAGTAAAGCTAAAAACCAGGAGGGAGGGGATACAATAAACGACAAAACAGTGGCAGAAGAAAAGGAAAAGAAATTCCAGGGTAAATGTTTGCAACAAGGCTACAAACGGTGACAGCACAGGATGGACCCAGAGACACTCATGCTTAACACCATGCTTTAAGAGCTCTGAAATCAGAGCATCTCTGAAATCAGAGCAGTCAACGGCAATCTTTCAATTGCGGCTAGCTGGGCATCTGGGTGATGTGGCTGTCATTGCTTGCAGAAATTTAAGTATAGCTATTCACTCTGTCCCCGTTTCAAATTAATTATATGTCCTGCTAGATGTTTGGTTGTTTTTTTGGTTTTGTTTGTTTGTTTGTCTTTTGGGCTTTTGTTTTGGTTTTTTGGTTTTTTTTAGTACCTAAGATCGAACTCAGGTCCTTGCTCTTGCAAGGCAGGCAGCAGAACCGCTGAGCTAAATCCCCGGCCCATCTTGCCAGATGTGAATAGTGAGAAAATTAAATTCTACTCCAAAAGGAAAAAGGAAGGCAATTGGAAACTCCAGGAAAAACAAAGCTATGCTCTGATCCAATTCCACTAAATCGTGGCACAATTCTGAACAATTTCAATGCAGACAACTTGGGACACAGCTGTAGTTCAACAAAGTGAGGTTTTAATCATTTGCTCCAGTGAAGGAGACAACATACCAGAGGCACTGCAAGGCATTTTGCCAAACAAAGGAAGAGATAGGACTATTACAGGACTGGGGATGGGCTGAGTACAGGTAGAGCAAAAGTTGCAGGAAGGAGAGTCTGGACAGGCTTAAGCAAAGCAGGGCTGTGTGTAAACCCATGCGTGCTGGCCTGTACCGTGAGGAAGACTTAGGGTTCTGTGTCCTTGATGACCGTAGCACTAAGATAAATGTGGAATGTTATGTCTGAAAATCTCTTATCTGAACCTCTGGACCTCCTTTGCTTTTCTGTGCCAAAGTTAACCCTTGGCCCAGGGCTTCACAGGAAAGAGTTTCATTCGCACTAACAGGATTTCCACCCGCAGATTTTTGATGGGCTATGATTGTAGAGAACTAGCTTTCTCGAAGCTCTGCTCTTTTACTAAGGAACAAAATCAGGTTTACGAGTTCACCACACCACTCTCTACGTCACTTTTCTGCAACGGATTCCTCCGTGTAGGGCTAGTCCATGTAGGATACTAGTTGGCTCTTCAGTTGATGGGATTCATATAGCCATTAGATAGAAAGCAAATACTATTCATTGACTTTTACACTCGATCTTAGCCAAAAGGCTGAGAAGTGATTATTCATTGACTTTTAAATGTTCAGATTCAGGTTGGGGACAAAAAAATGTAAGGATCGTTACAGACTAGAATTTAAATATTAATAACTCTGACAATGCAAACATAAATGATTATATTACAAAAGTTGTACTCAGGAAATAGTAAGGCCAGTCAGAGTGAAAGGCAGAATATTATCACTTAAGAGAGTAGGGATAGTGTAAAATAATATGGATACTTTATTAATGGAAGAAGAAATAAAACAATGTAAAAATGTAGAACGCAGGGCTGGGGATGTAGCTCAGTGGCAGAGCACCTGCCTGCCAAGCACGAG